CAACTGTTAGAAAATATTTTTGAGTCTGTGTAACTGAGTAGAATCTTTGAATTGTTCATAAGTTAATAACATTATACTTTAAATCTCTGGATGGTCTCTCAACAGTTCCATGTAGATGCTAAAAATATGTGAGACAAAACAGAATTTATCAAATACAATATCTCACGTTTTACGGGGCCAAACAGATATCCCCTAGCACCACATTCTGGAACTGGCTAGCCAGGCAGGACCAAACCACAAGAAACAGAGTCCTAAATGTCTATGTTATTCAGTTAGTGCAGAAAGACAATATTAAAAGTAGGGACGGGCGCGAACTGGGAACATGTGGTTCATATTGGTTAATGGTGTGCACAGTTTGCAAACAGTGGACAGGCACAAACTTTTTTACACTAGACGAACCAGTTAAGTTTGTGAGTTTCATGACATGGTAGAATGCCCCTCCCCAGGATGCTGGACAAAATAAACATGTCTGGCTGACTCTCCTCTACCTGCCCACCAAGTTTAGTGAGGATTTGATTTATGGGGTCCAAATTACGGCCCCCCAAGAAGGTGTCCCCAGGAAAGTGCTTTCTGGGGAAATGACATGCACAGGTTCAGGAGGTTCAAGAGCGTACAGAATGGATCCTGTGCAAGCTAGATACACCAAACTCCCCGTGGACCTCTGGCTGATTTCCCTCTACCTACCCTCCAAGTTTGGTGAGGACTGGATTTATGAGCTCTCAATTATGGCCCCTCCAAAAGGTGCCCCAATCTTCCATTGTTTCCAGTGAAGAAAGAAAAAAACTGAAGGTGGAGGGCATTTTTGCAAACCCAGCACAACCAGTGCCATGTGTCTAGTAGTGCCACTGTGGTAGTGCAAACCCAACAAGACTAAAGATTTCAGTTACCCTGGAGAAAATTGCTACTTTGGAACGTGAACTCTATGGCAATGTACCCCACTGAGGTTCCTCCCCTTTGAACCCTGCCCTCTCCAGGCTCCATCCCCAATCCCCAGGTAACCCTACACTACACTTCCCTCAAGAAAGAACTCACTACTCCTCACCCATTCTATCCACCCCCCAGATAGAAAGTAGAAGCCAAGAAGAGCACGGGTCAAGCATAGAAATGGTAGACTTGTCGACATCCTCACTGCAATCACTCAGATTCAAAATAAACGACACTGGGCTCTGGGATTGGTCTGCAACCATGTTGATGAATAATCCAGATTAACCTCACCATGGTTAAATATAAAATGCCCCCTCACAGCTTTGCACATCATCATGAAGAAATAAAACTGTTTCACAGCCTTTGCAGATAGATTAGTCATTAAAATGAGCTCTGACTTTTGTCTAGTTGTATGCTTTGGAGCTTCTAATGGAAACCCTGGGGATCTCAACACCAAGTCTAATATCACCTGCACAAGAAGGAAAGGAGACTGTTAGGTGGCAGCATTACCTGGTGTGCTCACGCCCAAAGAAGAGCACAGCCAGTTGAGATTCCAAAAGCACACTGAACTTTTATTACAATAAAATGAGACCTTCAGGCAGCCAAAGCATCCCAAGGAGTCTGAAGCTGGTGTCTTTACATTCAGTTTTTATACAATGATGTGAGAAAACCTTAAAGACCTGCACAAATGTCTGGTATGACATATTTTCATTTTTCTGGAATATCACTGTCCAACAAGCAATACATTCAAACATATGGTTTCTTCCTGTAAGAATTTTCTATTTTCTTGGTCCTGTGATCTGGGGCTGTCCAGTTCTAATTACTTAAAACAGTCCACCAGACATTCGGTTTGCCTGTGACCCTTTCACTTGGCCTTCACCCAGTTCCCACATCCTTTTTTCCCTTGCCAGATGCTGGTGTCTCTTAGTGATGTCTCTTAGCTCAAGTTGCATGCTGTGATATATTTTTAGCTTCTTAGTAGAGAGCTGCTTTCTGGCATTTAATAAAAGTTGTTTTAGATCGTTAGCCTTGTTACCTTAAGATTTACCTGAAATATAAGCATTGCTACCTGGTGTATCAGCAGGACGAGAAGTACACCAGCAGTTTCTTTAAAGTCCAAACTCCCCAATATCAGGTACATACACTTGAACTCTGTCCGGCAAAAGCACTTCAGAAGTGTAATTGCTGACCATTAGACCACAAAAAGACCCACCTCCAGCTATCCAAACTTAGCTGCTGCTGTGTGCTAATGGATACAGCTAAGGAGGTCCACTCTTTTCACACTGTGCAATCGGGTTTCAGAAAGCTATCACAATAACTGATTTGTTTATATCAGACCTGGTATTCAGAAACAGCACATTTAAACTTAGCTAACTGTTGTCCGGGGGTGAAGGTCCCAGTCCCACCCCCACCCCCACACTCACAAACCTTGAAGGGAGCCAGATGGATGACAAAAGAAAAAAAACAGGAAATAGCATTTCGTAGTTCGGGGAGGCATCACCGGTGTCTCCCAGGTTCACAGTTGGATTACAGGAGGGACTTTCCCCAGGGTGAGGAGAGGCCGGTCGCAGTGACAGGGAAACAGTGGATGGGAGCTCAGGCGGTGAAGGGAGATTGGAAACAGGTGTGTCCGCCTTACTCCATGTTGAGGGTAAGGCTGGGGATGGGCTCATAAAGAGAGTGAGAGTGACCCATTGGGAGCAAGGGTTGGCTTTCAGTCAGATCCTTATGGGGGAGGAGAGGGATTAGATGGCTCGGTGGGGCCTTGCCCTGAAGGGGAAGACTTAAGCAGGGTGCTCAAGGCTGGCCTGGGGGGAAGAATGTGGGAGTGACCCAGAGGGCTAGAGAGAGCAATGGAGAACCCGCAAGCAGGAGAGAGGCACTCGGGTGTCTGCCAACTCCCCTCCTCCTGCATCATTTGAGGCCACTGCCAAGATCCCTAGCATAAAAGTCATGCCCTGGAGGAGTCTGCTGCACCCAGCATCTGTGGTCCCAGGACACAACACCTGTTAGGAGTTCATAGGCTGTGTTGGCTGAGAGAAGAACTGGAATGAAGCACAATACATGTGTCTTCCTCTTTACACAGGACCAGCTCATGACATCTGTCACCTCAAGCATATCTGTGATACAATGAGAATCTGTGGTCTTCCTCATCGATGTGTGACAAAGAGGAAGGTAAGTTCCAGAGGTGATGCTAGAACTGCGGAAACTTGCCTTCTTCCAAGAGGGAATGGATATTGGGGGGGAGGTGATTGGCTGCTGCCTCCCCAACCTGTACTACAACCTGTATCATCACTTCCCCAACTCATAGTCTCTGGCTGGTAACTGATATCTTTGAGGCAGAGGAGTGTACTGGAGAGATGACAAACTGTCACCTCCTGCCTGACCTGTGCACCTATATACTAGAAAGGAGTAAGGCAAAATAGGGCACCACTTAATTTTCTTCCTGGGAGGCAAGGCAGTTGAGGGGTGTGTGGAACCAGGTACAATCTGTTACAAGCTGTGGCTGGTTGGCTTAGACTGAGTCGACTGAAACAGAATCCGATGAAGATGGAGGTCCTGTGCTTAAGCCAGGGTGGCCCGAGGTTAGGGATCCCACTCCAGATCTTCGATGGAGCGCGGTTGGTGCCAGCGTGGAGGTTAGGAATCTGGGAGTGCTCCTGAGTGCCTCTTTAACAATGGAGGCCCAGGTAGCAGCCACTGCCAAGTCAGCCTTTTATCATCTTCGGCTGATCAGGCAGCTAGTTCCCTTCCTTGAATGCAACAACTTGGCAACAGTGAAAAACACGATGGTCACCTCAAGACTAGACTACTGTAATGCTCTCTACATGGGACTGCTCTTGTTGCAGATATGGAAGCTGCAGCTAGTGCAAAATGATGCGGCCAGGCTGCTAATGGGTCTACCACCCATGCGGGAACACTTCCAGCCTGTGCTGAAAGCACAGCACTGGCTGCCAATAGCATACCGGATTCGCTTCAAGGTACTGGTTTTGACCTTTAAAGCCCTTTATGGTCAGGGTCCGGCATACCTGAGGGACCACCTTTCCCCATATGTTCACCAGAGAGCACTGCATTCAGGGGTCCAAAACCGGTTGGCCCTTCCAGGTCCCAAAGATGCCAGGTTGGTGATAACCAGGGCCAGGGCCTTCTCGGTGGTGGCTCCATACTGGTGAAATGAGGTCCCAGAAGAGATCAGGGCCCTGCAGGACCTCTTACATTTCTGCAGGGCCTGCAAGACGGAGCTCTTCCACCAGGCGTTCAACTAAGCAGTCGCATCATACACTGAGGAGTGTCCCTTTGCCCTGGCCTCACCATCTTCAGCCCGCCCATGCTGCATATATATAAGTAGATCAATGGAGCTGGTGCAGGAACACGATCGTTATTGCCACCTATGGAGTATGGTTTAAAATTGAAATTCTCTGCTCTTGCACTTTATCTGAATATTGTTCCAGCACCTTAGGATAACTGATTTTGTTGTTTTGGTTGTTTTTATGATGGATTTTAATTGTATTTACATATGCATTTTATGGAAGCTGCCCTGAGCCTGCTTCAGCAGGGAGGGTGGGGTATAAACTGAATACATAAATAAATAAATCCATGCCTGGCATGTACTACCATGCTGCCACCCTCCTCAAATTCTGCTACCCCAAGCAGCTGTGTGGCTTAGTTTTGCAGTGAACTGCCCCTGTCCTTAACTGTCTCATCCCTTTTCCACTGCTCTCTTCCCCTCTGCTTACAAAGGGATGGATTGTGGCTGCTATGCTTTATAAAATGTTAAAACACATCTTGTCCAAAGCTCTGTCAAATATCTTTCAACGAGCTCTGTTTCCACAAGTGGGATATGTGGGCAGGGGCTATAAGAGTAAAGGAAAAGTGATGCATCAAAATAAATACACAAATCCAGCTTCACAAATCCAGAAAAAAATGGATCTTGAAGAAAATGAAATTTTATGAAGTCATCAATGTACAGAAGGTAAGAAAAATGCAACATGCAACTGTATTTATTTATAAAGATGTGTAAGGCACACACACAAATATATAAATAGAAAGGAACCTCAGAGGTTACTTATACCTACTTGGCATAGTCAAAAAGACGACTGTCCCAAAGCGAATGTGTTCCTCTAGGACCAGAGTGAAAAAAAGCTGAATCCGTGCCATCAAATTTGTTCAGGCCATCTTCTGAATTTTTTGATGCATGACTATGTACAACATCCAACAGTACAATAATCCCCATTGAATGGGCAACATCAATGAGTTCCTTCAGATCATCTGGTGGTCCATAACGGCTAAAAAGTACAAACATTTAAAATTATATATTCAAGAAATTACATTTTACATTGTTTTTTCTAATTAATTATAACAGTACATATTTCTATTATATTTACTAACGAAAGGGCAAACATGGTGTGACATAAGATCCATAGCTTGGAGATAGTTCATAGGCCTTACACTCATAACATCCTTTATACCTCTCGTTAGAGGGCCTAAGGTAGCAAGGCAGGGGAGGACTTCTTCCTGTGACCTAGAAAAGCTGTCACAGGACACAATACTAGACTAATTGGATCAATGGCAGTTTCTGTTACTTATACAGTATTTTGAAACACTACATACTTTTGAGATAGAGATTTGTCGTGGGTCAGCCAGGGCTCAGAGAGGGTGAGGACTCCTCAGGAGAAAAGAACTCCTTAGGAGAAGAGGAGCCCCATGTAGCCAGCTCTGTGTCAGCAGAAACTGACAAGCAGGAAGGTGAGCTGCAGGCTTGTCAGGATTCACAGCCAACAGCCGGTAGAGAACCACCAACACACTCCAGCCCTGATTCAACAGGTAAAACTCAGTTGGTTGTTTCCAGCCCTCCAGTATCACCCACACCTTTAGTGTACTGCAGACAGAGGCTATGAACAGAACAACAGGAGAGACAGCAAAGTGCATGCCTCCTGGCCCAACGCCAACTACTTGACTAGTTGCAGGATTACTCCTGAGCAGCTAGCTATATGCATGACCCTTAAGCATATGGCTATAAAAACCAACCAAGGAAGGCTATTAGGTGTGAAAGCAATCCCTCTGACTCTGCAACCATTGCATTGGGTCCTGCCTCTACCCTCCGACTCTTTAGGTCATTTCTTGACTCTGCTTTTGTCTTCCTCCTGAACCTGCTCATGAGTAACCCTTGGATTCTCAGACCCTGCTCTATGGACTAACTCCTGACTCTGGGCTTAACCTTGGATCGGACCTTGACTATACTTTTTGAGTTGGTGCTCTTGTCTTACTTGCTCCTGGGCCGACTCATGAAAGATCTAACAAAAAAGAAAAGCTGGTGGGGAAAAAAGTTTGCTAGATGGTCTTAGACAAATAATTTTCACCTTACCTCAGATTTGTATAATCCTACTTGAGTGTCAGTGAGAAAGGTGGACCATAAATACCCCATCATCCAGCTAGGACAGGCTGAGTGGCTGGCTCAGGTAGGGATTTGGTTCGGGCAGGCCTGGGGTAGGAGGGTTGGCACCCCACCAAACCCCAGGGGGAATAGCCAATGGGTGGAAGGCAGGGGGATATGGGTGGCTGGACCCTTCATGGCTGAAAGGTCTAAGCTACACCCAAGACGAGTGGGGAACGAGGAGCCAGGGCCAGATTGAGGGGATGTCTGGAAGGAGGCAGGATGACTGCCTTTAAAAGGGAGGCTCCAGGAACAGGCCACGGAGGAAGGTGTTAGCCAGCCCAGGTGTGATGCTATGGGATGAGCACAGTCCTCATTCTGAGGCCTGGGGAGTACCCCCCTCAAAATGGGACAGAACAGTAGATTCCCTGCAGGTGGTGTTGGAGCAGGAGGAGCCTCACAATCTACCTTACACTTGGACCACATTCTATTGGCAACATTAAAACTAAAGGTAATTGCAAGTATATACAAATGTATCACTTACATTTTCTCTCTATACTATTTATAGTATTTTTCTATACTATTTATAGGATTAAAGTAACAGTTATAGACCCTACCTTTTTCAGCTTACACATTTCAACCATGCATTAAAAACAAACAAACAGGGAGTAGGTAAGGAAGAGGAAATGATCTTTTTACTCTCCCTTTCAACACTATGTACTCTTAAATCCCTTATGTGAGGGGAAATTCTTCCTCACAGATTAAAAAAAACTACATGGACGGCAACCTATCAGACTGAGAACACATGGTCAAAGGTGCAGCGTCTCTAAGGAAAACTGGAGTTCTTATGGAATCCTTTAAGCAAGGACAATTCTTTTTTTCCCTTTTAGTTTAAATGATTCTGGCATGTGGAAAGGGGAGAAAAATGGTTTGGGAGAATGAGCACACTAGGTGAACTCAGATTAATAAATACTCATGCCTGAGCACTTCTCGCTGTTGCTAATAGTCACCAGCAGCAATAAAGCAATGGACACCTCCAACCAGTGTTCCCTCTAAGCTGAGTTAGTGTGAGCTAGCTCACAGTTTTTTAGCCTCCGGCTCACATATTTTTCTCTTAGCTCAGGAAGGATGGCTCCAGAGCAAACTAATTTACGCAGTAGCCGAATCGCTCACTCACAACTTTAATGCCAGCAGCTCACAAAGTAGAATTTTTGCTCACAAGACTCCATAGCTTAGAGGGAACATTGCCCCCAACCCCTCCAGTGGGGGGGTGGAAAGATGGGTTTTATTTATTTATTTATTTATGGAAAGAATTGTCTTCCATGCCTTAAGGTTCTGCTATATGCACTGCTGCAGCCTTCTCTCTTTTCCCTGTTTTTGACATGCAACACACTTTAATATAGGGTACTGAAATTCTCCAAGTCGCTGGCACTTTGTTATATCCAAACAAAAATGATAAGATTAATTTACCAATCATTTATCTATGGCAATGTATATCTTCCCCAAATCTGGAATTACTAATCCATTTAAATTAAATCAGATGTTAATCTTACTCCTACAAACTCTGTGGTATGTGTTTGGAAGTCTTTCCATTATATGCCCACTTTCAGTGATGAGAAAATAAATGATTGGATACATTTACAATGAAATGTTAAAGCTGATACTTTAAAAAAACCTTGCACAATTTATCATGCAACTCACACTGCATGGGTTACAATAGTACACATACATAGAAGCATGAGTCTTAGGAGAGCAGAAGCAAGTATTCTCAGGGGTTGAAATGAATTATCACTGTATTCAAGAATAGTTCAGAAACTGCTGATTACAAAGAAACCAAGCTCGTAAGATACCCTTTAAACATCACATCAGCACCATGGGAACTGCTTTGCTCTACATTCTTTCCACTGCACTACTGTACTGTTTAAACTTCTGCAATCAATAGGTCTTAACGTGAAATCAGTTAAAGGAAACGTCTATAATACAATAGGCCAGAGCTCTAGAATGAAAACTAGCATAAAATCCCAACAGTCTGCTCAGCAGTGTGCGATTCACCTAAATTAGGATCACAGGATCAGATAAGGTGGGGGAAAGAACAAAACAGAGGAAGCAGCTATGCTTATCTCAGCTAATATACATGTGTTTGTATGCGTGTGTGTGTGTGTGCACGCGTGTCCAAAAGTGTTGCAATCTTAAAGTCAATTCAGAATATGATCTCAACACTGTAGTAACTCAAAATTACTACAGTTACAGTTGAGGACAGCAAGTGTTTCCATCCTGCCTGGCCTCTCCCTTCTCCCCCCCCCATGGGGTAGTGATAATGTGGTTTATTTATGCACCATTCTGAAATCGTTGTATTGTCTACTGTTTTTAATTGTTTTAATTTTACTGTATGTATTTTACTGTAACTGCTGTTCACCACCCTGAGCCTTGCACATGGGAGAGGGCGGTCTATAAATTGAATTAATAAGGAAATAAGGAAATAAAAAGCACAAGAGGAATTTCAGAGCTGAAAACAACTTCTGGACACAAACACAGGTTGTGCATTAAAAAAAAAGTAATATAAAGGACAGATCACCATACAGATTGTAAGGGATATGTAAAGCCCCTTCTTAGCTTTTGCTACTTCAACCATTAGAGCTTTCAGATAGTTTGCTCCTTGAGACCAGGATGGGGAGAGACAAAAGAAAACTTTAGGGAAAAAGACAAAATAATTCCAATGATCTCTCATAACATACCTTGAGGCTGCAAAATAACTTGTAACCTGATAACCAAAACTGGCATAATAAGCATGTTCCATAATAGCCATCAACTGAATGCAGTTATAGCCTGTATTTAAAAAGGGAGATGGAAAAGTCAACAAAAGCTCCATTTTGTTGGCAGTCCTGATTACTAATTATTACTTTTAGAGGGAGGGAAAAAATGTTCCATTTAGTAAAAAGGTATAATCAGACAATATATTATTCTTCCCAAAAACAACAATGGAAGCGTGACTTCCCCATCCAAACTGGAAAGATCAATTTCTCAAGTGATCCCCTAGGTCTACTGAAATATTGGTTTTTAAGGAGTGATACTGAGATGCAAATATAATCTTAATTTGACTTCAGAATATTAACTATGCCAATCTGCATGTCCTGAATTTCAACGGCACTTTTGATATTTACAACATTGATCATAAAAGAGGAAAAAAGACTGACTTCTTACACACATGCTAAAAAGTTGTGCTTCCCTTAATGTTTCAAACATATTCCATTTCTACCTAATCGTTAACATATTTTTCTCCAAATTCATTTCCCTGAAGGAATCTCTCTAAAAGAACAAACTTTAAAGGCAATGGAATTCTACTTTGAAGCTCACTGAAGGAGCTCGGGACCAAAGGAAAAGAAAAAACCTTTCTTTTTGTCCCTTATCCAACCCAAAATGTTTCTCTGTGATATTAAATGAAGGAAATCTGAAGGGAAAAGAACAGTTTAATGATGAAACCACAGCACTTAAAACAGATCTTTTACTAAACTAACTTTTATGTCAGCAAATAAATGCCCCTTCAGCCACCAAGCAAGGATTACAGGCAGATGATAACCTTCAGATCTGTTTGATAGTCTGTGTAGGCCACAGTTTCTCTTGATTCTTAGTTTTAACTAAAAAGAACCAAGAGGTGGAGGCCATCTGCTCGATTACTTAGGCAGCAATCCTAAGGCACTTACCCAGGAGTAAACTGTTAAATACTATGGGATTTTCTTCTAAGTAGCCCTGAAAAGAATTGTTTTTCTAGGCTGCAATCCTAAACTTAGTAGAGAGCAAGTTACACTAAATCCACTGGGACTCACTTCTATGTACATAGTATATAGTATTATATATACATAGTACCAGCACACTATAGTCATTTTATAATTAATCACAACTGTTTTCAGTATAGTTTTTGTACATACAGGCATCATTCTATCAACAATAGCAAATCAATGTCACTTGACTGTCCTTCACACTTTCTTTGACATACACATTTCTTTTTTAGCACTGAATTATCACTATCAATATGTGTGACTCTCAGCGTAGCTCCATCTCTGGATACTTAAATCCAGTGACTGGAGCCATGAGCAAACAAGACAGAAAAACCCCAGGTTTACATTAAAAACTGAAATCTAAAAATAAATAAATGGGGGAAAAAATTAAAAATGGAGGATTAAAATCTCCCTCAGTAATAGAAGCATTATCTGTACCTTTAAGGAGAATCTTGGTGGCCATTGTGGGGTTGCTGGGCAACCACAACAATATTGCCAGCCTTTAAACCTTGGTTTGAGTCAGTAAAATGCATGGGGGAGGGGGAGAGCCCTTTCTAGGGATATTTCCAGGGATGTGCAATTCTACCCCCTCTCCCCTTACTCTTGCCATGCAGGGAGAACTGACTGGCCCAGCAGCAACCACTGGACTACTTGCTACCATGCAGTCTATACAACTCACCGAGGTGTAATGGCGGATACTGAACATCTGATGCCTGACAACTTGGCCTGGGCCCAGCAGCATCATGTACTTGACTGGCTGGGCCCAGCAGTGCCACCACACAACTCACCTGAGTGACTTGCTACCAAGTAACTTTTTTGCCAGACTTTTCCCGGGGAGAGGCTGCCAGGGGAAAGGAAGAAGGGAAAGCTGACAGCCAGTGTGTGGTAGAGGTTAGAGTGCTGGGCTAGGATCTGAGAGACCAAGGTTCAAAGTCCCCACTCTGTCATGGAAGTTTGCTGGGTAACCGTAGGCCACTTACTTTCTCTTAGCCTAAACTACCTCACAGGGTTGTTGTGAGGATAAAATGGAGGTGAGGAGGATAATGTAGGTTGCTTTGTGTCTCCATTGTGGAGAAAGGTGGAGTATAAAGTAAATCCTGGACCCATTCCAGTCCAGCTTTCGCCCTGGCTACAGGATGGAGACGGCACTGATCACCCTTACGGATGATCTTCTGCATCATCTGGATTGGGTTGGTGCTGCTGTTATTAGACCTAACAGCAGCTTTTGACAGAGTTGATTACAACCTTCTGACCCACCGCCTCGCCAACATGAGGATATGTGGGACAGTTTTGCAGTGGCTGGTCTCATTTCTCCATGGTCAGGGACAAAGAGTGGCACTTGGGGAGAGGACATCATTGTGTTAATCTTTGGTATGCGACATTCCCCGGGGGCGATCCTCTCCCCTGTTATTTAATATCTATATGTGCCTCCTTGCCCAGATAGACTGAAGGTTTGGACCGGGTTGTCATAAGTATGCTGATGACATTCAGCTGAATCTGATGATGGACGGCTGTCCGGATACTGCCCCAGACATTGTGGCCAAGGGGCTTGAATGTCGTGGCTGTGTGGTGAATTATTACATTAATAATTGCAACTGGAACTTTATTTCTAGATGTTATACACTACAAATTATCTAAAAACTAAAAATGCCTGGTTCACAAGTGTTTTTCACAGCCTTTTTAAAAAGAAAAACAATACCATTGCTTCATTAGAAAAGAATGTTCAGTATACTAAAATGCACTGCTATGATGCATTAAATATCAACATGGAGACAATCCACAGACTCTTGAAATGAGCTTTTCTAATAAAAGCACAGGGCTCATTAAAAATTTATCTTGGAAGAAGCCTCAGATATTACTTACCAAGATCCTTGACTTTCGGAAGTACATTGTGTGTGAAGTTTTTATATGAAGCTACTTTCCCTTCAGGGGAAGCAATTCCCACATGAGATTCATAGATCCTTAAGCTTTTAGGCCTCTTAGGAATAGGATGTTTCCGCTACACAATGGAAAATGGTTTGGGAATAAAATGTGAGAAGCTCTCAGATATATTAGACAAGAATTGGTAAGCTGTGCTAAAATCTGAACCAGCGTATTCACTTTATGGTAAATGCAAGGGTTGAACATCAAATGATAAACTGGAAAAGGGAAAAAAAATACAGCAGTCTTCAAACTGATGCAGGCTGTGAAAGTTTCCTTCACATATTCCCTTTGGACAGGGCAGTCTTTACAGCTAGCCAGAGGTTGAAGAATTCACATATTCAGCTAGCATCTTGGGATGTTTTATCCCCAGCCTCCCTCAGTGCAATGTTTTATTGTGATCCACTTCTTGTTACTTCAAAATAATGTTCCTTCCCGTCAGAGAATCTTTCCCATATTCCTTTGTCTGCCAGTGAACTCCTATATATTGCAACGTATTTTGTGGTACAAGGTAATATACATTTCCAATTCACATAGGATACTGGACTCTCTGCTGCCCCATTCAAAACCGAACTGTGTGCCCTGAAACATACACAGTGCTCTAGAGTGACTGCAAACTGCAGGGGAAAAGCAATGGTGGCACTGCCCACCTTTCTACTATTCTCACTGAGGAATCCCTGCTATGCTTCTGGGGAAACTCAGAGTTGAAAACTGGAGCATTAAACACGAAGAACAAAGCTTGCTAATTCCATCACTACTGTCTGTAAGGTCCATCACCTACTGAAAGTGTTGCACAATTGAGAGGGGGGTAGAGGGGGAGGAATACCATCTATTTCTACCATTAAATCCAAAGGAATAACAGTGCAGGAAAAACGTTGTGAATTAATATTCAATGTTTTGCATATTATCTAAATTGAAATTGCAAGGAACAGATAGAAGACAGCAATGTATACATATCAAGTCTGTTCACAGCCATAAGTTGGAATAATTACTGTGGCTGGGTATGGAGGAGGGACAGGAGACACTGAGCAATTGTGCCCAGCATTGGCTCAGCCAGGTGGTTCCAATGCTGTTTTATGCGATCCACCCTCATTTGGCCAGCAGACCTGATGACTGGGCTCCAATTTGGTCCACACCACAAGTTTAAAAGAAGGGCACTGGAGGCACACTGGGCATTTGGAGCAGTCAGCCAGCTTCCCTTCCATCTTCTGCTCCTGGCAGGCAGCATCCCCCACAACCCCAGCAAGGAGATGCAGCCCACTACACAAGGCACCTGACAGCATAAGTATCCCTGGGGGGTGGAAGATCAGGTGTGAAGGGAATTCTGTTATGTGGGTTAGCAAACAAAGCCTAGGGATGAGGTAGGTTCTCTTGCTCCACAGAAGTAAGAGCTACTTTGACAGGGGAGCGGCCACTCTTCACAACTTGCTTAAGGAGGAGTGTGTCCATGCTGCCTTCCTGTTCTTCCCAACTACATTGTTGAACTTTGGCAGTCAGATCCACACTGTGTAGCATAGGCAGAAGGCGTAGTTGAATCCACAGCACATGAAAAGTGATCTGCAGGCTTTTATGCACTGGATGGGAGCAGAGTAAGGGCTTTGTAGAGCTCAGACCCCTGAATGATCTTAAAAAGGAAGGCCCTATTAAGGGGCTCTCAGGGTGATGGGAATGACTACCACCTTAAGTGCTGACATGTTGCCCACACCCTCCAGATGCTGGTAGTGGAAGAAACAGCAGCTTCTGCTGTGTTCAGCCCTAAGACTTGCTTTCTTTCCTTGGTTACCCCAACAGGAAAATGGGGGGTGGAGTCTGCTCTCAGTATTTGGACTGCCAGCTCTACCCACTGTCTCCAGCCTATGCCCCAGCAAGATCTGAAGAACCTGTAATGAATAAAGTTGTGGCCTCATTTTCCCCAGTCCAGCATGTCTATGTCATTTTTTTTCTCCCTCCCCTTCAGGCTATTCCCCACTCTGACCTAAGAGTTAATTATTAAAGTGTGGAATATTTCCAGGGTGTCAAAGCTTACTCATGTAGGTATATGTCGGTACATATGTATTACTAAATGTTATTTTCTTTTAAAAAGTCTTTATTACAAAACCCTGTTACACTTGGGGGGGGGGGCGTGGACCACTTTTGAAAATAAGGAAATCAAATTTAGGGAGAAAACCCTATTCACCACATTAGTCCCCAACATACATCTAACTTTTTTAGAATAGCTTACTTTGTATGGGGTTGGTGGCTCCCAGTGTATCCACTCATAAGTCACATTGGTGCCTACACGAGCTACGTATCTCGCCCAAGGAGAAATGCGATAGAAAATCTCTCCACTTCGGCTTCGTATTACTACCTATATTTAAAAAATAAATTAAAATAAAACATATAGCAAACATGAGAACAGCAGCATTC